TCATAGAGCTGGAAGGGGACCTTGAGAGGTCATCAAGTCCACTCCCCTGCCCTCACAGCAGGACCAAGTACCATCCCTGACAGATTTTCCCTAAATCCCTATACGGCGCCCTCAAAGATTGAGCTCACAACACTAGGTTTAGCAGGCCAGTGCTCAAACCACTGAGCTATCGCTGCCCAATCTACTTGGTAATCTACTTAGAAATCCCTGCCCAAACTCAATCCGAGCAGGGAGTCAAACCAATGGGTACTGTTGCCATGTTTAGGGGTACAACTCAGTTCCTGCCCACCCTCCCACACTGATGCCTTAGAATCATAGAACACTAGCACTGGAAGGGACCTTGAGAAGTCATTGAGACCCTCATGGCTGGACCAACCATCGTCTCTAGATTATCCCTCGTGGGAGTATATGTCATGGATGTAGGGATGATGCTTGGACCACAAAAACCTTCAGACCAGCCTGCAGTGTTCTGAGTATCTGTGTGCAGTGACCCTCAGGCTGATCACCCCAACCCCAGCATTCTGCCTGCCTCACATCAGCCTCACTCAACTCATTCTTGATGACTTAGCTGCTGCCTGTGTGACCTCAGCTACAAGGCCAGGCCCGACTTTCCCCAAAACGAACTCTCTACACTGTCTGACTCTCTCCTGGACTGTTCAGAGGAACCACGTGGCATGTTTGCCCTCTGAAGGGGTCAAATGCACAGTGAATACATTTTTCTGGCCTTGCCCAATTATTTAACTCTGACAGGGCCCCAGGTTGGGCTTAGAAGAAAAATAAAACCCATTAAAACATAAACAGAAGAACATCAGAACGGCCAAACTTGGTCAAACCCAAGGACCATCCAGCCTGGTGTCCTGTCTGCCGACTGTGACTTTAATTAACAAAGGGAGATTTCCAGTGAGTTTATGTGTTCAGGGTTGAATTAGCAATGCAGTTACGTGTATGGGTTGCACTGTAATTCAAGTGGGAATGGTGTCATTTGGGTTGATTAGTGAAATTCTCAGAGACATAGCTCTCCATGAGTCAACTTCCCATCACTCACCAGCCCCCTACTGCATAAATTGTCAATGCGTTAGTAGATACAACATAGAGACCAGATCCTGTGGCTCACACCTCCAACATCTTGCATCTTACAATTATGGTTGCCAGGTGTCCGGTATTTGAGCTTTCTTTCTGGGAAACAAACTGAGAAAATACCAGCCAGGCAATACACAACTATGTAGTAGTGCTGAATATTTTCCTTTTATAAACATACAGTTTGCGACAGTGTTGTCCTTTGTCTAGCTTTCATCTTTCTTGTGTCTCGCAGCACTCTTCTAAGGTAAGGAATATTTTTTCAGCAAAGAACCAGCTGCTCCAAATTTATTAAAACTGGTTCAATATTCTGTTTCCATTCCTGTGTAAAATGCCAGTGTGGAAGGCATTTTTAGTGTCACGGTTAATCTATGGACCGATGAATGGAACAGATTGAGTGTTGAGTCAGTAAGAAGTCAATTTTGGGTTTTTTTTAATATACCTTTCACTTGTTTAGAGGAAAAAGATGAGTTTTTGAAAAACAAAAAATTGATAAAAGCCACACAATCTAAAGTAAAATATACAACGTAATGTAGATTGTCATCAATAAACTTCCCATATCATGGGTTTGGTTTTTTTTGGTCCACAAATTTTTATCAAGTGTGTCTGGTATTTTTGTTGAAACCATCTGGCAACTCAACTTACAATCATGAACCAGCTCGCAAACCCTTTGAGTTAATGGAAAGATGCTCAGTCTTTTTACTACCACGGTCTTTGTGTCTATGCCTGGGGCAAAGGTATTGGTTGTTTTCCTCACACCGGATATCGGCCAGCATCAGTGTCTCCCAGTCCAGTCTCAAAATAAACCCACAGAGACTGCATTCACGTCTCTCAATATAGCCATGCACCGTGTTCCTTCCAGTCCCTCATCCACAGCAGAGCCCATCCCACCATGGAGAATTCATCTATCACCCTCCTTGAAATATCCAGAAGGACAGGGGGAGTTCTGTGATCAGGAAATGTCTTGATTTTTTCAATGGCAAATGGCAACGTTTGGTGCCCTGAGGGACCATAAAACTCACAGCCAGTGTCAACAATGAGACTTAGCCTTTGTTGGAGTGGAAGCTAAGGGTGTTCTTGGCCTGGTTTGGGGGTTCCCCGTCCAGAGACCAACCTGACCCCTGGGAAGTTTAACTTGGGAGCACTGCATTTTCTTCTTACTATAAAGCAGAATTGACCTTGCTGCCTTTTATCTGTGATTCGAGCAGATCATAGAATCCTAGAACTGGAATGAACCTCAAGAGGTCATTGAGTCCAGTCCCCACAGCAGGACCAAGCACCATCTAGATCATTCCTGACAGGTGTCTGTCCAACCTGCTCTTAAATATCTCTAGCGATGGAGATTCCACAACCCCCCTAGGCAATTCATTCCAGTGTTTAACCACCCTGACAGGTAGGAAGTTTTTCCTAATGTCCAAGCTAAATCTCTCTTGCTGCAGTTTAAGTCCATTGCATCTTGTCCTGCCCTCAGACAACAAGAACAATTTTTCTCCCTCCTCCTTGTCAAGCGATTCATGCAAAACAAATTCAGTATATTTAAAAACTAATTACTGTTTTAATCACACCACTGAACAATAATAGAACACCCGTTAAAAAAATTATAAATATTTTGGGTGTTTTTTCTACATTATCAAGCAAAGTGATTTCAGTTAGCACCTAGAATACCACGTGTGCAGTGCTCACTTGATATTATTACCAGAAGATTTACCCGGCATTGCTCGGATACCTGAGGGCAGGGGGGTGGAGATGGGTGTACAGTGGTTAGGGCAGAGGTTTGGGTGTATGGGACTCTCAAGGTAGGGGGTGGTGGGTGTAGGAATACGGGCATGTGGATTGGGAGGGAGAGAAGAAAGAAAGAAAGAAAGAAAGAAAGAAAGAAAGAAAGAAAGAAAGAAAGAAAGAAAGAAAGAAAGAAAGAAAGAAAGAAAGAAAGAAAGAAAGAAAGAAAGAAAGAAAGAAAGAAAGAAAGAAAGAAAGAAAGAAAGAAAGAAAGAAAGAAAGAAAGAAAGAAAGAAAGAAAGAAAGAAAGAAAGAAAGAAAGAAAGAAAGAAAGAAAGAAAGAAAGAAAGAAAGAAAGAAAGAAAAGGAATCGTGTCAGACCTCAAATCTCTCAGGTCCCCCAAACTCCCCCAAAGCGCTGTCCGCAGGGGAGCGGGTCCGTCCATAGCCATGAAAAGTGTCACTCTGGTATGAACCCCCTGGGGAAGTTGCTCGGACGGTACAGCCAGGAGAGGAACGTTTCTCTCTGGCTCCGACTCCCAGGCACAGAGCACAGGCTGGAAACTCCTTCCCAGACCCATTCCCAGCTGAGGGGGATAAATGTCGCCCCCGAGCTCCAAAGGCCACCGGCCCACCCGGGCACAGGCGCTGTCTGGGTCAACCCCATTTGGGGCATGAGCTGTCAGCCTGTCGCCTCCAGCCCCTACGTCACAGGGACCGGCCCGAGCCAGCCCCGTGGTTGGGCCTCTGGTGGCTGCTCCCCAGAGCTGCTGAGGCAATGCAAGGATGGGGGGGCTGCTCACTCAGAGATAATTAGGCAGTGTTAACGAAGCACCAGGCTGCTCCAGGCAGCGAAGGGACCGGAGCCCTTGGCTGCTTTAGGCCAGACCGGGCTGTGACAGCCTGTCGCCTCCAGCCCCTACGTCACAGGGACCGGCCCGAGCCAGCCCCGTGGTTGGGCCTCTGGTGGCTGCTCCCCAGAGCTGCTGAGGCAATGCAAGGATGGGGGGGCTGCTCACTCAGAGATAATTAGGCAGTGTTAACGAAGCACCAGGCTGCTCCAGGCAGCGAAGGGACCGGAGCCCTTGGCTGCTTTAGGCCAGACCGGGCTGTGACTATCCATCGAATCCAGCCCAGCCAGAGATGGGGTCTGATGCCAGGTCAAACCGGGATCAGCTCCAGAGCTGGGAAGGGCTTTAGTCCTGCATCCCTGTGACTGCCCCCTCCTGCCCAGCCTGCCCGCGGGGACGCAGGGAACCCGTCTGCCAGGGGCTGCCAGAGACCCAACCACACCCGGGGATGGGGCCTGGCTGGAGACATGGCCGATGGACAAAGCAAAGATGGGACAGGACTGACAGACATGGAGACCGGCCCGGACTGAGGAACCAGGACTGGTAAATGCCTCCCACACCGGGACACCTCCTCCAAGGCCGACACGGTGAGTTTCCCGTGGTGATTAAATGGATGGGGGTTTAACATGCTGTTAGCGCCTAGACCTGCTTTTCTAGCTCTGTGCTTCGGTCCTTCCCTGTAGCCAGCGGCACAGACCTGACACATCATAAAGCACAACCCACCCCCTTACAGCCTGCCGTACTAACGACAAGGGAGCAGGGGAAACCGAGGCAATGGGAGGGGTAGTGACCGGCCAACGATCACACAGCAGCGGAGAACAGAACCCACTTATGACACGGACTGGCCCACAAAGGGGCCAAGGCAAACGAGGCAGTAGGTGAGCGATGAGGTGGAATCGTAGCCAGAGTGGGGTGTCATAAACCCCTAGGGAGCCTGGCCAGCAGGCAGCTGTGGGGCGTGGCCCCAGACACATGACAGATGCTTGGTCAGACATGATGCCAAGTCCCAGGCCTCTTTCCCCAGCCGGGTAGTGCTGGTAATTGCACCCAACAGGGTTCCTCTTGGCCAGGTTTGACTTGGCTCCCTGCTCCACAGAGCATTAAATCCAGCTCTGTCCTGAGCCTCCCCCAGATCTATACGGGGCACATGGAGGCAGCTCTGTAGACAGTATGGCAGCCAGGGTCATAGACACCCGTGTGGTCACTCACTGTCCCTTGGCACTGGGCATAGTGGACACCCACCGCAGGAGAGAGTTCTGAGGGGAATCGGGGTCGTTCCATGTATCACTCTGATCCCCACCCCTGTCTGTGCCCTTCCCTCCGCAGCCACCACACTGTGAACTGAGGAAGAAAATGACCAACCGAAGCACCGTGACCGAGTTCCTGCTCCTGGGCTTCTCTGATGTGCGGGAGCTGCAGATTTTGCACTTTGTGCTATTTTTGGTGTTTTCCCTGGCAGCCCTCTCAGGGAACCTTCTCATCATTTCAGCCATCGCCCTCGACCACCATCTGCACACCCCCATGTACTTCTTTCTGGGGAACCTGTCCCTCCTAGACCTCGGCTCCATCTCCGTCACTGTCCCCAAATCCATGGCCAACTCCCTCCTGGACACCAGGGTGATTTCCGTCCCTGCCTGTGTCGCACAAGTCTTTCTCTTCTTTGTCTTCGTGTCAACTGATTTTGCCCTTCTCACCGTCATGGCCTACGATCGATACGTCGCCATCTGCCAGCCCCTGCACTATGAGCGAGTGATGAACAGGAGAGCCTGTGTCCACATGGCCGCCAGCGCCTGGCTCGCTGCTATTGTCTACTCTGCCCTGCACACGGGAAACACCTTCCGGTTACCCTTCTGCCAGTCCAACGTCATCGACCAGTTCTTCTGTGAAATCCCCCAGCTCCTCAAGTTAGTCTGCTCTGACTCCTACCGCAGTGAATTTGGGCTTCTTGCCTTTAGTGTGTTTTTAGGTTTTAATTGCTTTGCTTTTATCATTGTGTCGTATGTTCAGATCTTCAGAGCGGTGCTGAGAATCCCTTCGGAGCAGGGCCGGCACAAAGCCTTCTCCACCTGCCTCCTCCACCTCACTGTCTTCTCCTTGTTCCTTTGCACTGGGGCCTTTGCCTACCTGAAACCCACCTCCAGCTCAGCACCAGGGCTGGATCTAGCGGTGGGTGTTCTCTATGCTTTGGTGCCTCCCATGCTGAATCCGGTCATCTACAGCCTGAGGAACAAGGAGCTCAAAGCTGCCCTGAAGAAACTGATGGGGAGGAGGTTATTCCCCAAGAATTGAAAGGTCTTTGGGTATGTCTACACTACCCCGCTAGTTCGAACTAGCGGGGGAATGTATGCATACCGCACTTGCTAATGAAGCCCGGGAAATTCAAATCCCGGGCTTCATTAGCATAAGCGGGGCGCCGCCATTTTTAAATCCCCGCTGCTTCGAACCCCGTGTAGCGCAGCTACACGGGGCTCGAACTAGGTAGTTCGGGCTAGGGTGCCTATTCCGAACTACCGTTACTCCTCGTGAAACGAGGAGTACCGGTAGTTCGGAATAGGCACCCTAGCCCGAACTACCTAGTTCGTGCCACGTGTAGCCGCGCTGCACGGGGGTTCGAACGAGTGGGGTTTTAAAAATGGCGGCGCCCCGCTTATGCTAATGAAGCCCGGGAAATTCAAATCCCGGGCTTCATTAGCAAGTGCGGTATGCATACATTACCCTCCTAGTTCGAACTAGGAGGGGAGTGTAGACATACCCTTTCATTGGTCCTGGGTCACGATTTCATTCGGCGTTTCTTTCTAATCAATGAATGACAAAACTATCGCTGTGAGCACAAGGAGCAATTGGGTCATGAAGTAGGAAAATCCAGACCAAGTCCACTGAATGAAATCCTAATTAGTCATGCAAGCATCACTCCAGTGTAAACAAGATCAGACTCAATATACGCATTCATAAATCTTTCCGCACATCTGTGTATCTTGCGCATATTTATACTGTTATAATCTACCAGAGCCCAGCGCACCAAATATCAACAGCCAAAGCTACGTCCCTGGTGAACATCATGAAGTCTCCGTCTCTTGTCCTGTTTTGGCGTTAAATTGGTGCTTGTGGAATGGGAGGTTTGGCTGATGTTGGCTGTATGGTTTCTTCTTTATTTCAGTTTGTTTATTGGTTGGTCCATTTGTTGATTTGTTCCAGGTGGCTTTTCGGGGGGAGGGAAGGAGTAGGAATTTGGGAGGTTGGAATATGCTTGTTCCAAGGGGATGTCCATTTATCATGTATTCTAGATGCCTTCTCCTCCTTGGATTTTCTGAGGAGCATAAAGTTTTGCTTCCCGGTTGAGGATGCATTGGAAAAAAGTTTGTGTAAATGGGTGGGAAATACCTAGTCCCTATTCACACAGTTATGTGAATGCGGATGGGACTGCACTGCACTATTTCAGATGTGTGAGGGTAGCTACGGCCACGTCTATGAGAGAATAAACACCATGTCATTCTTCGAATGGTGGAAAGTCATTTAGGAATATCATTATCTCATAGACACTAACCTCCTCTCCCATCCCTCCATCTGTTCTAAAATCTGATTTGTCAATTTTATATGTGTTCACTTTTTTTGATTGTATCCTGGAAAATGGATCCTGTCATTTTGAATGCAATTCGAAGCTTGGTTGAGAAAGGCAATAGACTTTTACAAGGCCTTTGACTGGGTGTCACATGAAAATGGTCCCCCAGTAAAGTTTGTGGATGACAGAAAAGTTGGGAGACCAGTAAATAGTGAAGAGGGCGGGTCCCCCAAAAGGATGGATCAGTCCGGTTTTGTGCAGATTATCGGAAGCTCAACATCATCATCGTGTCCGATGTCTATTCCGTGCCTAGGCCTGGGGAGCTCCTAGACAAACTGGGGGGATCTCACTACCTAGTCATCATGGACCTCCCCAAAGGCTTTTGGCAGGTGCTGTAGGAATCAGATGCTTTTATTCCCTCTTTGGAGCTCTATGAGTTCCTGGTCCTGCTTTTTGGCCTGAAGGGGGCACCGGCCACCTCCTAGCGCTTGGTGGGCCAGCTACTAAGGGGGAGGGAGAGTTTTACCCTGGCTTCATTGACATGGGAGGGCCATGTGTCCCAGGTTAACCAAGTGCTGGCTGAGCTGCAGGGGGCCGGGCTGACTGTAAAGGCTGGGAAGTACAAGATGGGGATGGCAGAGATACCTCACCTGGGCCATAAGGTGGGGAGCGACTGCTTAAAGCTGGAGCTGCCAAGGTGGAGGCCATCAGAGATTGGTCACCGTGAGTATCACATCCCTCCTCTCTCTGCCCCTCCCCTTCGATATTCTGGAAACCAGTCCCATTCCTAGCACTTCCCATGTTAGTGATTGTAGTGAACGTTTTAGTGAGTTATGGAAAGGAGACCCGTTGACAAGTCACAGTGGTTGGAAAAGGAGTTTCTTATTTTGTGAGACATTTCAAGATACTGAAATATTTTCCCATCCCAGGTCAGGGGAAAAATGAGAAGACAATTTGAAAACAAAACAAAACATAAAGAAAAAGTTGTCAGGGCGACTACAAAGTTTTGCTTCCATCATTTCATAAAGAGACTAGAAGGGACGATGCAAGTAACTATCATCACTTTTCTTTACCACAGGCCACTCAGTATACCTCCGCTCCCCCGATAACTCCTATGTTGAGCCCAGTTAAACAGCTCTGGTTAAACTAAACAGTAAATAGAGTGAATTGTGGTGAGCCACAGAGAGTGATCCAGGGAGACTGAGTCCCACCAGGGTCTAAGACCCGACAATGAGAGGGGTATGACCAGCCAGGACACGTCCAGGGAACCCTATCAAGTTGCCTCCTACCTCAGGGCAAAGATACATTTTGATTTTGACCCTTTCTGTGTTTTCATCCTTTCTTAAATGTCAATTAACAGCCATTGCAAAGTTACCGACATTATTTTTTTCAAAATACAAACCTCAAGTTGGTATCTGTTCAGAAATTGGAACCTTCTGAAAAATCCAACCTTTATCTAAACGACCCCGTCCCACTAATGCTCCAGACTTCCATGAATCTACAATTTCTGAGGAACCAAACCAAATTGTGAGAAGACGTCATAGCAGAGTTTGTGATCAGCCCATGCATGGCAATTTCTTCCTCCACTCTATGGGCCCATTCTTAAAATAGGCTCTTCCCCTCCATTTGTAGATTTCTGCACCCCTGGAAATGCCTTTCAAATGAAGGCTCTCAAGATTTTGTCATATCATTGACTATATCAGCAAAGAGATGCCTGCTGGATATGTCGTCTCTCCATGGAGATCTCTTCAACTTCCTCTCCTCCCTGACACAAATGTAGACCATCCCCATGGCCCATCCAAGTTCACCCAACGTCCCAACATCAACCGGCCACCTCCTCTTCAGCTCCAATTTGCAGGCACAGAAAAGGGATTGGGATTATCGTTAATGAGGCCAGACGCCCAGCGGGTCTGCACCAGCTGTAGCTTCATTGGCCTCCAAGGCCAAGAACCAGGGGGGTGTAAATCAGCAGAAGCTCCAGTGAGGACAGGTTCCCCTTTGGGCAGGGGGCAGGACTCAATGATTCTTGAGGTCTCTGCCAGCCCTGAGATTCTCTGACAGAGGTTCTTGGGGAGGCCCAGGTCATGGAAATCAGATGCCCGGGTAATGGAAATCCAAACAGCTCCATTGACACCAGAGGGTGAACTTGCCACTTGCCCAGAACTCAATGGAACTGGATCAGATGACACCAGTTTAGGATGCAGCGTTTGCCTCCGGCTGCTTTTTAGTAACCATCGTCAAACATCCGGGCTAGCCTGTGGGGTCCTCTGGGGGCTGCAACTCAAGAGCTGCTGGAGCAACCTCCAGGGGAAATACTTAATTGCTGGCTTGACAAGCCCTGGCTGGGATGATTGAGTTGGGGCTGGTCCTGCTTTGGACAGGGCGCTGGACTCGGTGACTCCTGAGGTCTCTTCCCACCTGGGGATTCCATGAACGCCAGAGACCAAACATCTCTGCTCTCCCAGAGCGGATCCTGTGGGGTTCAGGAAGGACCAGGCTGCTCCAGGCCAGCTGGGGCTGTAGGGACACCGGGCTCTGAGCTACAGCAGGTCACATCTCTGCTCCCAATGGAGAGTTGATTTTGCAATCTCCTTCACAGCCCTTTGGGCGTCAGCCCAGCTCTGTCTGTCACCAGGGGTCCTTGCAGGGGATTTTCTGAGCAGTGCTGAGAATCCCCTCGGAGCAGGGCTGGCACGAGGCCTTCTCCACCTGCCTCCGCCACCTTGTGTCGTCTCCTTGTTTAACTGGTGCCTGCGCCTACGTGAAACCCACCTTCAGGTCTACATCCCTCCTGGATCTTGCAGTGCACATTTTCTATTCTGTGGTGCCTCCCGTCGTCTACAGCATGAGGAACAAGGAGGTCAAAGCAGCCCTGAGGAAAATGATTGGAAATAATTTTGTTCCCGGTTCCTTTTCAGATAAACTAACTGATGACATTAATGTCTCTCTAAGAACACGATTTGCTTTCTCTTTATGCACAAAGAGGAATTTGTTCTGGTAAAAATGGTAACAGCTCTCAAGTGATTGCAAATGTATGAGTGCAAATAATAACTCTATCTATCTATCTATCTATCTATCTATCTATCTATCTATCTATCTATCTATCTATCTATCTATTTTAAGATTGTGTACTGCTATCCATCACCATGCTCTTTGAGGACCATCAACAGTATTAGTAGGCCTATCAAAGTCATTAGTGGACCTCCCGTAGTTACTGTATCTTGTTTTTTTGGGAGTAAAAAATTGCTGTATCTGTTTTTTGGCAGTTGGGTTCTTATTTTCCTGTCTCCTTTTGGTGACCGATTTGTTTCTTTGTACATTGTAGGTGGGACTGTCTGGGGAGATGCTATGTGTTCACTCACCCAACATTGCTGACATTGTTTCAGTTATGTGGTTATGAGGATGCCCATGTGGTTGAGTTCTTGTGGGAACTAATATACAACCAGGGCTGGACTAGCAACATGGCTGCTTTAAAATGGACCCTGCTCTTGCCTAGAGACACTAGGCTCAGTTCAATAGTGAAACCCACGGGTGGGGACAGTGTCAAGGTGTCCATGTCGATCGTGGGATATTGGAGATAGTAGAGCAGGGGTGGCCAACCTGTGACTCTAGAGCCACCTGTGGTTATTCTGAAGTTAATATGTGGCTCCTTGATCAGGCACGGACTCCTGGGCCGCAGCTATAGGTGCCAGCTTTCCAGTGCTCAATTCCTGGCTCCACCTCCCTCTCC